AATAAACTACATTAAGATCAGAAAACTGTCCACTATTCTGGGTTAGCAGAACAGTAGATTATCTCGTTAATAAAGGAAATATTCAACCTCAGTCACGTGAGTCAGGCTATTGTCTCGTGGATTCGTCATTTTAACAGGTTTCTAACTCGTTTTGCTCCGATGAGGTTTTACACAGTTGGATCGCTGCATCACAAGAGATTCAAAGCTAGCAGTGAGACGATGCTGGGTATTATTGTGGTTGCTACACATCATAGCTGATGTGAAACGGTTCACATACTTTAATAGCATCATAGACCGTGTTTAAATAGTCAGCATGCACAGTGTGTTCCCTGTGTGACAGCTTCACGCTGGTTGACTGATTTAGCTCCACTAGCTAGCAGCAACATGAACCCAGCATCTCCTTATAGGGCGGCTGCTAGCACGCTCCTCGGCTGATGGTGACTCTCTCACCCCGTGTTTGGCCTGAAGTTCCGCCATCCTCTGCCGCCGGATCGCCTCTAACTCGTCGTCCGCCATGTTTTCACAAAAGGAATATGGAGCTAAAGGTCTGAGGAGGTGAGAGAGTGTTGAGCTGAAGAAATCAAACTATTCTCCCATCAGAGCCAAGGCCCTACCCAGCCGCAGGAAGTGTAGTCGATGTGGATGAGACAGATCCATCCAGCACGCAGGGGGAAGCAAGCGAGCACAGAGCAATCATCAGCAGTAGAAGTGGTGGAAACTGTTCCAAAGATTTTCCTGGTTTTGGTTTTAATTATGAGGACGAAGGTTAAACTAAATAAAATGAAATACATTCCCTACAATCGATAGTTTTAGTGTTGCTTTTATTATTGTATTGTTTTGTTTTAAATAGAAGACACTTAGTTTACTTAACTTAACATATTTGAACCCAAGTATGTTTTAAAGTGGGGCATTTAATAATTCAGTTGTGGTGATGTTGAAGTCACATGATTGTGGTGTAATCTTATAATGGGTGTAGTTTGTTAATAGATTGGGGTTTTTTAAACTTCTGAATACAAATAAATGCACCATCCCCACTGAACAGATAATTATGAATTTGTGGATATGTATAAAATTAATATTCTTGTGGCATCTTTACTTTACTTAACTTGGCTACTTTTGCCTCTTTACAAACAGAGAAAGAGCATAATTCACTTCCATTGTTACACAAGAAAAACACATCTGATACTAAACACTTTATTCAATAGATTAATTAAGATATTGTATGCTGTACTGACTGTTAAACAGATTTTAAACATTGTGTTAATAGCCCAAGTACAATTTATATCTGGAACATGGTTTATTCAACTAGAATATCCTCACATTGAATATGAGATCATAATTAAAATGCAATGATAATTTACATGGAGGATTGTGTTTTATCATTGTGGGACATGTCACTGCCTGTTTTGACAGATGGGGTAGTCTCAGGACTTCATCCCATCTAACCTCTAGCTCCCTCTGTAGGTACTGTAAGAGAAACGACTCAGCAGCAAGGGGACATGGTACTTCACTCCAGGGTCATTTATAGTAAAGACGATCTGCAACAAACAACAAATATGATCACACTGATTAGCAAGACTGTTATCATATTCATACTACAGGTTAAAAGAGGATACACATACAATGTCAAGAAAAAAATATTTCTTCACCTCAACATAGGGGTAAAAACTGGTGTCGCCCGTACTCGCCCAGTATTGAGCGGTTTCAAAATGCAGTCTATACACACCAGGGGTGAACAGTTCTTTTGTGATGAGCCCTGGACAACGTCCATCGTCATTAGTGGCCCTGTTGAGACACAAGATGTAAAATATGTGATGAAACTTGCAAGAGTAATGTTTGAGACTCTGAAATGAATCTATGATCAGTTTTTTTCAGGTTGTTACCCGGTGGTTATCGTTGTCCAGTCTTTGGTGCAGGGGTCTTGTCGAGAGAGGCTGAGGGCCATGTTTGAAGCAGGGATCCCCAAGGCTGTATTCAGCACGTGAGTGGTGAGTGGACTTGCCATTGTTGTGCTCTACACACCAAGGGAGTAACACTTTGAATGGATGAGCTCACATCTAAAATAATTCTCACACATACTTGACGAGTGACACAATTATTTTCAGACAGGCCAAGTTTTCTCAAATAAACACTGAACTTATGTGATTTTTAATTATCTTTGCCAGGTTATTCCAAATTGACCAGATCTGAATTTTCACATCTAATTGAAGATGACAAAGAGAAACTGAGTTGACACTGAGTCGAGTATCCTGATGTTTATAAGGATTTTAGGATTGTGATTCTGTTTCTTTCATCAGAGACAAGCATCAGAGCACAACAGACAATATGACAAAAATTATTTTAAATGCAGATTTGTAGTTTTATCTGTCATCAATTAATCTTATCTATAGACAACAAGCATTATCAAACAACCGGACGTATGGAATTATTAGAGGTCAGTGTGCCATAATAAGTATAGTAAGTTTATTTGCATAGCTCCTTTCACACAAAATCACAGTGCTTTACCACAGTGTTATAACAACTGAAGTCAACCTTAATGGTAGAGTGGTTTCTTACCATGACTTAGTAAAAACAATACCAGGTAGTTGTTAATCATATCTGACTGTAAATATAAATGTAATGTAAATAAATACCCTGGATATAATTTGATAGTTATGTCTCTGCATTTGATGAGTCATTTCATCAAAATATCTCCACAGCCAGAGTGCATGTACTTTCTGTATCATACAGTAATCAGTGCAATCTAACTCTTTCAATGTATAACACTGTGTAGCTTCACATTCATCATGTTGAGTCAAAAATCTTTGACCATGTGTTTTGTCAGAGTTTTGTGCTTACCTTATTTTCAGGCAAAATATGACCCTCCAGTTTCTGCAGCCTGGACACACTCATGTGTGCTGAAGAATGCAGTGAGTGGATGAAACTAGGTCAGCAGTTTTAACTGAGAAATGTAATGTTACGGTTTATTTAACAGCATCAGACTTCGGTAGCATAACTTGTGCCCTGTTCAGCAGGCATGTGCTTATCTCTTTGTCAACAGACAACCAGTTTTGCAAGAGTCCCTTTAGTCACACTTTGCCTCCAGCACTTTGAACTCAGTGGAAATGAATGATCACAGTCGACTGCATTGAGACGGGGGCTCATTTGAAGTGCACGACTGATTGGAGTAAAAGAAAGTCTTTGATTTTCTTACCTCGGCAGTTTTAACCCTTACTAGTTGTCCTCACCTACAACTTCCTGCTTGAATTTCCTCACTGAAAGACATGTGCTCTGTCTCCTCCCCCCACACACCCTCTACTTCTCTTGACAGTGAAATACACATCCAAGAAGTGTAATATTCTCAAATTTAAGGGATTGTTTGGTGCTAAAAGTTGGAAACAAGCAATGTGTTTCAAGTAGTCAAGTCTACTGTGTGTTTATTACTGTTTAATAAATGATATGGTAAAACTTTGAGAATGTCAGTAAGTGATCTGGTCAGAGAGTTTGTATGTACACTACATGAACCACAGGACAGCTTTGAGGTAAATGTTAGAATTCAATAACAAATTTGCCTTCACTTCTGAACTGAACCTTTTGACTTCATTAGAATAAAAATATATAATTTTTAAACTACATTTGTTTGCACCACACATTAGGTAATACTTCAAAAGCTTTATTGTATGTGGTATTTTTTCTTTCAACTCAACTCTACTTTTATACCTTATCAACCATCAACTTCTTCCTTTCTGTGTGTCTGTAGCATCTCAGCTCTATAAATCTTTGTCAGATATCTAAGTTGAATTTCCAGAGTGAGAGCTGGTGGTAAAGAGGCTGAAGGTGGAATTGTCCTTTTTTCAGATTTTGTTTCCGAGCATTGACTCCTCAGCATGTGAGAGAATAACAGACTGAAAGTATCTCACAGAACTAATTGACTAATTTCATCTTTTGACCTGTTTCTGAACTGTCTTGCATATGTGGTCTAGTTTGGTAACATGAGCAATTTTACAATTTCCTGATTTCACATAATTTCCAAATGTCTGTTTCTTCTTCCACTTATTTCCTCTGTATCTGTCGGAATAAAAAAACACAACCATATACTGCTTTATAGTCAATATGAAAATACTTTTACTACTGTGACAATGAGTATTTCCACTTGGCTTATCTTAAGATCGCAAACAAAAACATGAAACACTATAAGAATTATAATAACATCATCATCGTCTTAAAAAAAAAAAATACGAGAAGTCCTAAAGCAAGACTCAAATCAGACAGCAGAACAGCTACAGTAAAGTTTTACAATAATACACAATATTACACACTGACCTGGGCCTTTAGGTGCCAAATACAGAGGGAAAGAGAGCTGCAACATTCCTCTCACACATTTAAAGTAGAGAAGCTACTAGTATTTCTAAACATTATAAGGTCGTCTGTATAATACTTGTTTCAGAGAGTAGCACTCAGATGTAGCATACCTGAAACTTACAAGCAAAAAAACACCAGACTCTTTTTCTCTCCTGATTTATCAGCATGATACAAGCAAGAGCAAGTATTAGTTGACTGTCAATAAAAAGCCGCCATTAAAGATCTTATTCTTTTGCTTTTACAAGTCAAAAATACTTTGAGACCCATTTACACTACAGGCACACAATATTCCAGTTTCCATTAATTAATGTTTTATGCATAATTTAATTAATTGTCCTTTGTAAACAGAACATGTTTTAAACATGTTCAATGGAGAAGAGTAAAATGCTTAAATTTTCCTTTGAGATATTGTTTTTTAGATGTTTCTTTTTTGGTATAAACTGTTGAAGCAGCAGAGAGATTCCTGTGCCATAAATAGACATTTTATTATTATTATTATAAATTATTACTGTGTGATTACTGTTTAGTCTCATTCTGTCTTTTTGTATGAGGAAAACGTGAAAGGATAAACTGTTAAGCAGGTTACAGAACATGTATTCAGAGAACTGTATTGTCACATTTGGATTAAAACTGGAATTTTGGTGTTGGTGCAAAGCCACTCATTCAGAAGAAAACATTAAATGAACCTGCTTCCAGCTCGTCTTTATAATTACTTTCTAGATAAGATCCCGCCTCATTCTCTCAGGCCATCATTAACTCTTGTCAATCACATCCTCATCTGTGTGTCTGTGTTTGTATAAATCACCTCTGTCAGTCATTTTACATTTAAAGTATAGTCACGGAAACCAAGCTGCTGCAATACAATTAAAAGTACTGTGTAATCTGATATGTACACCCAGTTGGGGAATGAAGCCTCTGATATTAGCGTTGGCTCGGCTGTGGTTGTTCTCTTCCTCAGTGTTTGGCACTTAATCCACATCTCCTACGGTTCCTTCGGAGTTTCCACCCTCATATTTCCTCCTCTGGATCAGAGCTGTGGTTGCTCATCTGTGACAGACAAACAATGAGACAGGAGAGAGAGAAAAACAAAGAGACATTTCATTAAACTGCAAGCTCAGAATGACTGAGTAAAATTTCTTATGCAAGAATAATCTGATTTCACAAGACTGAGACATCTTAGTATCTTATCTGTGTAAAGGACAGTTTTCTAAAAATAAACTGAACTAAACAATTTAAAATTGTATTTTTTATTTTAAAGTTTTCTAATTACCTCCACTACTGTTTGTTGGTTTGTTTTTAAGCAAGCTTAAGGATTACCACTAAACCAGGTGGAGGGATGCAGTATAGGTCAGAGAAGAAACAATTATATTGAGGATCTGCATCAGGGGGCAGGTCCAGGATTTCCTTTTTCTTTAACATTTAATCATTTCTCAGAGAGCATATTTGGGGACATATTTATCTTCATCCACAAAAAGGCCCAGACGGACAAAGAAAACTGCTGTACCATTTTTGACCTTTCTCAATGATATCAACAGAAAATTAGTGTCATGCTGCATTAGAGCACTGTCCGCTTGTGCACATGTGCATTTACCGTGTGGTGGTCATCATCGGGCTCCCTCAGGCCAGCGCTCTCCCTGTGGATCCGATGGCGGGAGCTGGGTGGAGAGAGGGAGGAGGGGGAGTGCTCTGGGCTGCTGGCAGACAGAGCATACGGGGAGCTGGTCGGACTGTCCTCTCTCAGGGGAGACCCTACCACAAAGAAACCAACACATGGGAATAAGTGGAAGAACAATGGGTTTGGACCTTATCCTTATCTTGAAACATGTCTGTGAGGAAATATGTTTTCTATGGCTCACAAAGAGTCTGTGCAGTGACTTTGTACCAGATGACAGAAGACAAGAGTGGGAGTGACACAATGAAGGACAGATGAGGAGGAAGCACGGGGGGGAAGCGAGAGACAGCAGGCTAGATAGTGAGAGACAGGGGAATCAAGTGGAGCCAGAGATAAATTAATATGAAGATGAGAGCTATCAATCGTACAAGGTCATTCAAAGCAGAAGGGAGAACACACACATGCGTACACACACTTTTCTGCAGCACACACACACACACACACACACACAGCTGCTAAACTGCAGGAGCCACAGCTGTCACTTTCTCTTTTTAGTAAAAATGTTGAATTATAAATTCAGCACAATGTTTTGATGATGACCTTCAGGATCGAGGTTAAAGAACTGTCTTTGTTTAAAAAAAAGGAAACATTTTTAGTGTAGTTGCGACTGAGGACAAAGTGCTTAGAGGAAGGTGGACTGCACCACATGAGTGTTGTAAATCAGGTTTTACGATTTGTGATTACTTGAATTAAGATTGCAGTAAAAAGCAATTTCCTTATGAAGGATAACAAAGCTTTGATTCATTCATGCTCCGAGCTGGCACTGTGTTGTGATTTAACGTCCACATGAGGGCAGCAGCAGCTCTTAGCTACACTGAGCTGCTGTCCTGATATTTTTTTTTATCCTGAAGCTTCATCCATCAGTTACTTTAACCAAACGCTTTGTTCAGCATGTTCCGTCTTGATGTCCCTACTCCAGCTGAATTTGCCATTGATTCAACATTTTAAAAAAAACCTGACAAGAGGAAAAATAATTGATTTGTCAGGTATAACAGGAGTGACTCCTCTAGTGCAGTGTGTTCCCCACCCAGCAGTCTCCCTGCCGCACGGGCCCCGAATCATTCTGATTGGGGCTGTGACTGGTGGAGCAAATCAAGCAGAAATCAGAAATTGGCGTACCACTGGAGTCCACTTTAAAATGTTTTTAATGCGCAAATGGATTATCCATCATCAAGTTCCACACCGACCCGCCTCCACCGTCTGCCTGAATGAATGTCTCACCTTTGTGGTCGCTCCTCTCTGTGTCCATCCTTTCAAGACTGTCGAGCAGCCCATCGATCTGTGTCTTTATCAGAGTCAGCTCCTTTTTAATCACCTGCAACTCCTCCATGCCCACTGCAGGGACAGAGACACAGAGAACATGAGGGACACTGGGAAATTACACAACCTGAGAAAAATAGTTCAACACATTTCAGAACATTATTCCCATAATTGCACGCTTTACAGCTAAGAGCTCTATATAGCTGAAGTGGCAGCTGATTAGCTTAGCTTGGTACAAAGACTTAAACATCTTGAGGTCAGGGAAAGATGTGAAGTAGAATTCATAAGGACATAAGGAGAAGACAGACGCCTTGGTCATTGCTGTGCTAAAGGAGATAAGAGCAGAACCATTGAAACATCTTTCCAAAGCATTTAAACAATTCGACCAGCTCTTATCAAATACGTCTGGGCCGTTTCAAACAGTTAGGATCCGTCCTGAGCAAGAAAGACTATTTCAATCTCAGGCCTGGATTCCTGTGGTCACCTTGAGACACTGTGATGTCACTGATGTTAAGCTTTAAGAAAGTCTCCTGGCTCCAGATGGTAACTTCAACCTTCTCATCAATTTCTCAGTAAGTAATTGTTAGTGAAATTCAGCTATTGAAGATTGAAAAGTAAATGCTAAGGTGTTTGTGGCATTTTCCATTAAAAACAATGCACCCTGAAATTATATTTGATGTGATACAAGTTATTTAAATATGTGATCTGCTGCTCAGGCTAATGAAAGCAACAGCAGAGAAATGTCGATGCTGCCCCCTGGGGGGCAAAGAAAGAACCACTGCATGGCGTAATCTCTAGAAACAGATACTCCGTGAATATGCAGAAGTAGGGAACAAGATTTTGGGGCAGGAAGTTTTCTGGTTTCAGTTTCTAGTTTTATCGAGTTTGAGCAGGCTTTGGTTGCCCGCAGGTAAACATTCCATGTGGAGAGAGAAACAGGGGGAACACATTGACTCAATTTTGTCGGCTATAGGCTTTTTAATTTAAAATGCAGCTAAAACAAAAAAGTATCACTGTTTGTGTTTTATGTGGATTACTTGTGTCAAAAAAATATAGAAACTAGTTGGACTGTAGAGAGTCTTGGCCCAGATATCTATTGTCAATGTAGGCCTCAAAATACTGGCTGTTGCTCCCTGAGGCTAATCTGTCATCAGACAATAGCCGATGGGCTTGGAGATTGCTGTGGGGGGACAAGGCTGACTTGGGTAAAAATATGGAGCGAAACCAAGTTAAGTTCATTTATGTAAAACAAATAATGCTCTGCTAACGTGCTGATCTTTATTTTACCCAAATTCAACTTGGATCCTGATTTTATTTGTTGCTTCACTGTCGTTTTAATAATTGATAAAAATTGTGGGTCAGGGGGGTTGGGCTTTTTCCTGCCTCTGACCAGAAAAACGCTTGTGAACCACTGACGTAGAATCTGCGTGTGTCGAGGACACACAGAATATTTGGCCTGTGATAACTTTGTGGTGAAAGTATGAGAAGGTACAGATCCAATGAGTCTGACGTCCTGTGTATGAAACAGACGCTCTAGCTGTAATAAACATTTAATTCTAAATGCAGAGAGACTGACCATTACATTCAAGACCTTCAGGCAAACAGGAATCATCTGACGCATGCCTGTCCTTATGACCTCGACTGAAAACAGCTTTCAGCCTCAGTTCAGAAACATTACTCACACTTGGCTGTGCTTGAACTAGTGGAGTGGGCTCTGGAGCTTTTGGAGTGGGTTCTGTCTCGACTGCGTCTGTGGCCGGAGGAGTGGGAGGAGGAGCGGGGTCGCTTGGCCACACTGGGCCCCAGGGGCAAAGGAGACAGGGATGCCGGCACACGCTGGTAGTCATACACCCTGGAAATGAAAAAGTGTTATGCTGCCCAGTCCTCACACAGCAACAACAATATCCTCAGAAAACTAAAGTAAGCATGTGACGGACAGCAGATATAATAATTGTTCTGCAGGCGGTGGGAGCTGTCTGCAGCCACAGCCAGGACAAAGCTTTTAAAGCCTTCTACAGGTGGCGAGCGTTTACCCACAAGATCACTTCACTCTTCTTCCAGATCAATACACAGCATGCTACATGCACCTTTAAGTACAGGAAGCTGGAATCATATACCTGGCCTTGTGTAGTGATAATATTGATATAGACTAGTTCATGCTAATTTCTCTTTTTTTATGATTTGCACCAGTTTGCATTACTTTAATTTAGACTGCTTCAGACAAGCACTGAACTCTGGACATTTTCCTGAAATTATGCAGACGCACTGTATGTGAGAATGCAAATGTGGAAGTCCGTTGCTCTTGAAATTTTCCCGGAGCTTTTCCTTCCAGCTCCCTGGTAAAATAATAAAAGCCAATGTGAGAATACCACAGCAAAAATGTATTTGAATGAATTCACAGCGAACAAGTGGATGCGTGGATGATGTTTCTAATATGCGATGAACTGTGGCACCATAATGTAAAAAAAATCCCATATAAATATATATATGTGTGTGTGTGTGAAGTGTGAGGCATGTCTATAAAAGCAACTGTTTAAGTATCTCATATATAAAGCTGGATGTTTATATTCTACTTTCATTTGTCTTTACCTTCTATCTTTGTCTCTGTCTCGCTCTCCTGTGCTCTGGCATTGCCTCGTCCCTGTGGACAGCTCCATGTTTCTATCTGTCACTGAATGTAATTGGTTCTGTCAGGGCCAATCAATAGCTCCCCGCCATGCTAACAGCACTGGCGACAGGAGGTGTATCACAGTCAAACTCTATAGTGGTAACAGAAATGAAACTGTTTGTGCCTGTGTGTGTGTTTCAATAGAAATAGAGATGATATTGTGATTCACTGACCAGGTGAAACCCAGGTACAAGGTCAAAACGAACCAATCATTGTGGGGCAAAGCTGCAGAGAGGGTCGAGCCTGGGGCAAACTGAATTCACGATTTTACCGAGGTTTCTGTGGATTTGTAACTGAGCAACGGATTGAGTGAATTTGTAAAATAAAAAACAAAAAACAACAACATGAGTTACAAATCTAAGCTCAGGTCCAGAACATTATAACTCTCTGTGGAAACAGCAAACCAACCGGATATAGTCTCAGTCTGGATAAATCTGGATGAAGGACAGAGCCCAGCCTGGTTTCTGCAGAGCCAGGAGAGGGAAAAACTCTTCTGCTGTATATCACAAGCCAGCAACAGGGAGGCAAGCTGTCAGCTGCAAGGACTTTGAGTTGGACAGTAATGTAGATTTACTGATTGAGCTGTTAGCCAGTCAGTTGCTGGAAGCTTTTCTCGGTTGTTTTCTCCTCTGTTATATTCTGTGAAGCCGCTCTACCTGATACAGAGAATTCAGCACACGACCTGTTCACAGATGATATATCTGTCAGTCAAAAATATCATTCGATATTATCATTTCACTGTCATATTAGTATCGAAGTTTATGTTTGTTAATATGCACTGATGAAGAATGATATCTTACAATATGGAAAAGATATGTATTCATGTTTACATTTTACTTAAAATATGTTCTATCTTTTTAAGGTTCTATCTTTTTAAGGTTCTATCTTTTTAAGGTTCTATATATTTAGTTGTATTGTTTGTAATAAGTTTTTATTATTGTTTGATAACAACATACACCATTTTTTAAAGAATACAGTAAAAACATCCGCTGATATGTCGATACCGCAAATTCTTTACTCCCTAATACCACAGACTGAACATCAAGATGGACAAAATCGCTGCTCTCAAAAAGTGAAGCTGAAGCGTCTTGATCGCCACCTGGTGGCTTGCTGCAGTACAAGTCAAAAACCCTGCCTCCTCCATGTTAGTGGATGGGATATGAATCAAACTAAAAAGTCAAAGTAGAAGTCAAATGAACTGTTCTTAAAGATGCGTTGTCCATCTCTATGTTTAACACACAGACACACAGGTATGGCAGTGTCACATTAGGATTAAGTGTGTTAGACCACCAGAGGTGTAAGATTAGAGGCTTTGAGCAGAGACCAAATACTTATTGGAGTTTAAAGTACTTCAGAGCAGTTTGTAGGGGCAGATAGACAATGTCCTGTTACACCGACTTTGAAGTGTCATCTCAGAGAATGGAGGCACAGACAATGAGAGACTGCAGACGAGCGAGGATTACAGAAAAGTGTGTGAGTACGCGTTTGAGAGAGTACGCGTGTGAGAGAGTGTTTGTCTCTATGGATTAGACCCCACACCAAAAGCAGCTTTGTAAACTCGGACTGTTATCTGTGTGCTGAAAGACACTTTTCTCTATTGTTTGCTCAAGAGGACGGCAGACAAAAACATTCACTTCTCTCCACATCACACACACTGTCTCCACCTCACCCAGAAGCAAACACATGTGCATACACACACATAAATATCCACACACAGCTGTCAGTGGTGCTAGCTAACAGAATGGGAAATAATCATGCACTGTGTTAAAAACAAATTAAAAATCAGTGGCGAGTATTCCCCCCGGGGCGAAGGCAGAAAAATGCAGAGCAAAGCAAATGAAAACGGATTTATGGTTACGGTTTATACTGAGAGCATCAGAGCATCGATATGTTGGAGAAAGAGGCGGTGGAATGAGTTGTATCTTGCATCATGTGTGTGTGTGTGTGTGTGTGTGTATAAGTGTACAATGTGACTGCAAGCTTTTATTCAGATGTGCTGAGTGGAGTGTTTATGAGTGAGGCCTGGGGGATGTAAGAAGGTCCCTGAGCAATTTCAGTCAAGGACCAATAACACAGACCTCAGTCTAAATACTTCAGCCATGTAACCACTGCACTTTACTCCACACTGCACATGAATCCATTCTGCCTATTCTCACAGATTGTAAAGTAGCTGATGTGGTGTCTGAAATAATCAGAAGAAATTTGTTTACGACTGGGAAAAATCCCATGAACGCCACCTCAAGTCAGAATCACAACCCGGAAAATCTGCAACGTTTTTGGTGTATACGAGTTGCTGACGTCATCACCTATAAACCAACGACCATAATTTTACAATCAGCTCTGAATGGTAGCTTCTAATGATTGACTTGCAGATGGCATGTTCATCCATCACAAGCACCTAACACCACTTTTTAGCCACTACTTTTATGATTAACGTGCATTCGTTTGAAATTATTAATTATTATTACTCCTTCAAGGACATATTTACTAAGAACTTAACCTGAAGTCACAGTGGCTTATAGCCTGTGACATTTTTCAAGAAAGACGTTAATTTTCAATCTACCATTAGGGGGTAGGGGTAGGGCCAAAATTGTGCCTAAATCGCAGACTGAAAAAAAATCTGCTTTAGTCATCTCGAGCCTTGCTTGGTTTAAATAGAGTCAATCAAAAGTTAAAAGGTCTTTTAATTGATTTATTTTACTTTAAAGTCTGGACACCAGAAAAAGAAGCAGTTTTTGTTGTTTTGCAGTGATTCAGAAACTGGTTTTGAAACTTTTGTCATCGTTAATGCACGCATACGGGAAAGCATTACCTGATTTAACTAACATGTCGATACATTTTCGGTTAATGGCCCAGCCAGTGGTCTATGGAATAGACATTATGGCGTTTAAGTGTGCGACTGTCTCTGCCTGAGTACATAAATATATTTTGTGTACGTCTGCATATTTCCATGTCCACATGTGGGTGAATGTGATGAGTGAGCTGCTGGCTGTTTAAGCAGAAACAGGCAACGGTGTAAGCAGAGAGTGGATGACTGACAGTTGCGCAGCAGACCGCGATGGGAAGCAGAAAGGACTGGAGACAGCAGGGATGAAGAATGTGCTTCAGCCTCATCCTCTTTAGCCTCCTGTGACACACAGACAAGCAATACGGTGTGTGAGCTGCCATGCATAGCTCTCTGACAGTACCTGTCATAGTAGTCCTCCTGATAGCTGTCGTAGTCCAGGTCGAACTCAGAACTGCAGGAGAGGTGGAGATTGAGACAAAGAAGGAGGGGGTGGTTAGAAAAAGTATTTGTCGAAGCTACATGATACACTTTTACTCGGCTTTCACAGATTTCTCTTAACACATAGCAAGCTTGGTTGGCGTGTCAGTGTTTAAAAATGTGTGTGTGTGTGTTTGAGCTGCAGCAGGGTTATATGGTGCTATCACTTCATCTGGAAAGAATACAATGTTCATGATCTCCAGCCAGCTGGAAAAAGACATTGGATTTGTTCTGCTGCAACATCAAAGCTGGAAAATCCATAAAAATTGTCTCATGCTCCAACTGTACAACCCACTAAACACCGCCGTGCACGTATCAGCTTAGTGAGGCAAGCTGTGAGGCATGTGTGTGTGTTAATGGGGGAATTGGTGGCAGGTGAGTGATGTGACAGGGATGAATGTATACGGGGTGGTAGCTGGTGTGTACCTGTGGAAAGAAGTGGAGGAGAGAAAAGTGACACTAAGCCAGAGCAAACATTCTGGTGTGTCAGACCTCAGCATTCCTCCCTAATCCCCACGCAGAGTCGCTAATAATCCCTCCATGTTGCTCTCCCTCCCTGTCTGTCTCTTTGTCTCCATCGCTGACTCACTCTCTCTATCTGTCTTTGTCATTCTTTCACTTATCTGTCATGCTTTCTCTTCCTTCAAACTGACCTCACTCTCTCCAGTTCTCCTTCAACCAGTCTTCAATCCACTTCCGTTCAATTAAACTCAAATCAATTCACTTCAATGTAATTCATTTCAATTCAGTTCAGTTCAATTACAATGCAAGAAAAGGATTTCGTGCATTGTAATTGTGAGTTAACTAAAGATTCCTGCACACTGGGTTTCATTGACAGGTACTGAATCAGTACATAGAAATGTTTTTTCCCAATTCTCCTATTCGTCAATATAAAGTAAACCTGCAAATATCTTTTTTGGCCACATGGGGGTCACAGAAATATTTCATATCACCTTTTAAGATGATATAGTAAATACAATATGCAGATTGTTAGCATGACATTTCACGTTAATTTAAGTCATGTCTCTACACATCTGACAAAGTCCAACATCCACTCTCTAATAGCTTCGTTTTTGGTTTCCACAAACTCCTGAGGGAAACATCTGGATATTTAGCTGTTAAATACTCTTACAACAGCTGCCATAATGCCAAGGGGGTCTGCATATTCACATTGTTTTTATTTTCATCTGTTTTCCTACACTTTGTTCACCAGCCTGTCTGTCTGCTGTTTGGTGCTATAGGCAGGTTTTGCAAAGTGGGTTTATCAGAGCTTCTTTGTTAAGTAAGGCTGCCTGCTACAGGTAAAAACACAAGTGAAAGAAGGAGAAACAAGACACTAAACCAGTGGATGAGAAAACCAAAACAGTGAAGGGCTGAGAGGAAGTGCAGCGTCCAATGTTGTTTGTGGGTTTGTCACTATATGGGTGAAACATGGAACATACAAGTCATATGATTTATTTTTGATAAAAATACTGTTTATACCTATATGTCAGCAAATATGAAAAAACTAAATAAGGTTTCCAGACAGGAAAGTGAAAACTATTTAACAATTTTGGTTGATAGATAAGATCAGAGACATTTTAGAGCAACTCATAGTCAAGAAACAGCTCGTGTTCCACAAAATATTGACATGAAAACAACACGACTGTTCAGGTGACTTATTTCGGGAGAGTTACCTAACCCACTCACTGTCCTTGACATCTTTTTATCTGTCACAGAGCGAGAAGTTTGTCCCCTGATGTTTGTCTCAAAGAGGAGACGAACATCAGGGGACTAAAACCGAACCGCACAGACAGAAGTACACACTCGTACAAATATACAAAGACAAACATTTCAGCGTTATGAGAAGAACAAACCTCTGAACCTTTTTGTGTTTTGGAGTGGACTGTAATCATGTCTCCTCCAGTGTTACTCTCAGGGACACTTCTCTGTCTCAGGGACACTCTCAGGTTTTCAGATTTCAGGAGACAGGAAACTGGCAAGGATCCAATTAAAAATTCTACCTTCACACTTTGAAACTGTGAAATGGTCTACTGTATGTGTTGTTTTAACTCATTTTGTCAAACCAGCTGAAACATATTGATACATATGCTTTCCAGGACATAAAATAAAGAGTAAAATAAAGTGTATATTTCAGCTAAATTCTACTTTTTCATGCTCAGCCAGTTAAGAAAACACGGAGTCGAACAAGAACAGAGGAGGAGAGCAGCAGTAACACCACAGCTCCTCAGTTGAGCCGAGCTTTCTGTTCTCTAAGTGAAGTCTGCCCGAAGAGAGAGAGAGAAAATAACAGCTATTCTCCGAAATCCTCTCTGAGGGAGAACTAAGCTGCTGTTCACTCTCTGCCTGTTTCTGTCCCAGTGGCGTTCACACGTTTACCTTCATCACCGTGGAGTCTTCTGGGCTTTGGGGCAGCCAGAATAATTCATATTTGTTCGCAGTAAATACATTTTCTAATGTGAAGCTTTTATTCTTATCCCTGTATTTGTTGTTATTTTAATTAGGCTGAATAAATCACACTTTGCAGGATTTCACTTCTACTTTACTATTTACATCAATTATTAGCAATGGATGTTAAATAAATGTTAAATGTTCTATGCCAAATAACATATTAGGTTATTCATTTGTAATGATAGTTGGGTTGTGAGAATGTCACTGTGTTACTGTAATTATCTGACATGAACAGATATTTAAATGTGATTTATTGTAGATAAATCTGTGACAGGTAAGCGTAGCCCCATTTAGACTGTATAACTGTATTTACATCCACACTGAGCGGCAAAGTGCCAGGGTCACTGTGTATCCTTAGCATAGCAAAATACACGTGTGTGTGTGTGTGTGAGAGAGAGAGCGAAAGTGAGAAAGAGAAAGAAGGGGAGAGAGAGGTAGATGGACAGCAGGGTCACTGAAGGCTAATTAATTTCTTTTTCATAATTTCTCAAGTGCCAAAGCAATCCATTAGAAATGGCTGGCCATAAATCATTTCAGCCTCAGCATGCCTGTGTGTGTGTGTGTGTGTGTGTGTGTGTGTGTGTGTGTGTTCGTGCATTAGGCAAAGACAAGTTGCTTTTTGTGAACAAAGATTTTCTCCATCGCGCACACGGAACAACAACCCAAAGGCAGAAACCCATCAGAAAAACCTTTAAGGTGTGTGTGTGTGTGTGTGTGTGAGAGAGAGAGACAGAAACTGTGAGATGAATTATTAAAGATATAGTTCAATTGGCTTAGAGCCTTGACAGATGCAATTTAAATCTCACTGACAATAAATCAAAGTGACACTTTATGTGTGATTCTTGTTTTCTTGATTGTGGTGACATGTTTGGTGACAAATAATCATTTCTTTCAATCACTTCACGTCTCTCAGTAATCAGACTGGACTTTTAAATGAATATGAAACTTAACAGCATATTTACAAATGACGGTGAGCAACAGAAGAATTTAAGCTGTTGCCTGAAAGTAACCACATTTACAGAGATGGTGAAAAGCAGAATAAAGTTTATGTCTGTTTTATACCATTACATCAGAAGTGCCACAAACATGGACCCACTGCTGGATTTAGAAAAACACGTAAAAAGCGGCAGCTAAGTTTAGGCTCCACCTGAACGTCTCACTAAGTCGATTTCAGCTAAAAATAGCAAAATCTCACCCAAGTGAAGAGCAACACTTGCATCGATTCTCTGTGCCTTGAATGTTTTTGAAGGTAAATTTTGGATTTTGAGTTGGAACTTGTCCCATTTTTCTCATTGCAGCAGCTAATGACAACGTAATCTTTCTTTACACATTCCCTGTACATCATGTTCCCACACACTCGTGACTGCGTGAAATTAGGTGTGCACAGAGACACACACCTACTGTCAGATATATTACTCATACAATTCATGAAGCAAAGTGCAGCGTTACACTAAAACCTCCCAGAATTAATGAAATTTGGTGTCATTCGTCAAAGTACAAAGCACGAAGAAGGAATTAGTTCCAGTTACTTCATTTCAACACCTATTATGTTCTTTCTCTCTCTCCCTCCCTCTATCGCTCTTTTTCTCTCTTGCTCTCTCTCTTCCATGAAAATGTGATGGCCATTAATTTAAATTTGCATGCGGTGAAGGACAGATGTGTTTAATGGCTGTGCTCCACTGAGAATTCAGATTTATTTTAACATAAGTTTTTCCCTAAATCAGGTCTGTGGTGTTCTTGAAGCAGCAGGTGGAGTATGATGGATTTCCAGATCATATAAAATGCAGGTGTGAATATTGCATTCATTACTAGTAATAAGCAAGTAAGAGCTGAATATAATGAATCTATGCTGGAAAACCCATGCGGACACGGAGCGGAAAGACCCAGGCCACACTGCATTGGATTCAAACCAAAATCCTTCTTGCTATAAAGGAAACAGTGCAAACAACTGTACCAACATACTGCCCCCAGTCTATTAATATAGAAACATATAAGGGAAAACGCCCATTGAACAATGTGACAGCAGATTTATGATTAAAAGTCTTAAGTTATATGTGTGCTGGTGTTTTATTAGTGTTTATAGGCTCCTCATTGTGTTCCATTATACACTGTACCCACACCTGTCGTTACATTATTAGTCACATGAACAAATGCAGTCAGACTGTGAATGATGTTGTGTCAGTTGGTCTTGTACTCCACAATGTGATAACAATGAGGAGCTTGTTGCGCTGCTAATGCCTGTTGCTACAAATAAATCTGATGCTCGTGTTTTGCTCTCCCAAAGTGTACAATGTAATCAACAGGACAGGTGCCAGAAATATGCAGTAAAACTTAGAAAACCAGATCTTCCTATCTTCCATCCAGCCGTGCCTTCGCCTGTTAACAAGTAATTCGATGATGAGATATTCTCTGCTTTAGAGCGTTGAGATATTTATCCACACTGAGCTGATGAGTCACAGTTTTCTTTCAGCTGGTTCAAACCAGAGAATGTATATAAATATAAATGACACGTCTCTACCTCCT